TATGTATGTATGTATGTATGTATGTATGTATGTATGTATGTATGTATGTATGTATGTATGTATATTATGACTTCTGTTACTTTTATGCTTCAGCCAAACTATGATTTTATAATGATAGTCAAAGATGTCCGCCGGATAGTCTCTGCTTATTAATCATCATATCGCGTAAATTTTCTGTCCACAGTGATGAGAATGGCCTGACAACAATCAGAAATGGTTCTTGACAATTATATTCTTATGATATTTTGAAAATTTGAAACCTGTTAGCTGTTTTGATAACTTTATAAGACGAAACGTTTACAAGATTAAGGAAAATAAAATAATCTCGAAATTGCTTTGGAAACTTTAAAGTGTACATTATTTTCAAAGATTCATTTTTAAAATTGTTTTCAAAACTCACTGATATTTCTTAAAACTTTTTATGAATTCTCAAAACTTCTGAAAGAATAATTATGTAGCTGCAATACCTCTAATGCACTTGGGAGCAACGATAAATATCCGTATAAATTTGAGTACAAAATCTTAGGCATTTTAGTTAAGTTACAATTTTACAATAACTATTAAATTTTTATGAACTTTAGAGTTTAAAGAAAGAAGATGATATCTGCGGTTTACAGTTAAATACACCACATGACGGCAGCATTCCTATGAAAACCTCGCCTGTTTTACGTTTTTCTGGCACCCTTTTAACAGCCGTGGCGGCGACTGCACTTAACGACCATACTGTTGTCTTTCTTGGAACATCTAATGGACATCTTAAAAAGGTATACATTCTTTTCCAATGAAATTAAGAAAACACAAAGAAAAAAACAAGTAAATATATAATTTACAGTGCGCAGAAGAAAAAAAGCGAACACATTAAATAACTTTTGATCTAATGATTGGATTTTCACACAATTGCAAAGAATCTTAATGGTGGCTTAACTTATGCAGATAGTATTTTAAGTTACGAAATATGATCATATTTTTTCTGAATAAACATATATTTATTTCGATGTATTTGGATTTGTAACCCTCAAAATATGAAAGGGTGTCGCCAAAGTCTGGAATGTATAGTCCCTATAATTTTATCAGGAGAGAGGTTGAAAGGTTGGTTCCTTTAATGTTGATTTTACTTTTTGCTTATTACACCATATCTCTGAAACTAATGAAGCTAATCGAAAGATATTTGCACTCAATTACCAATGAACTATATCTAAATTTAAAATCTGGTAAAAATTATCTTTTATAATTATTTATTACTATTTAATTTTCTAATAGTCAAAAAAAATTTGTAATATTTGCAAAAAAGCAAATTTTTTTTATCAATTTTGGTGTAATTTTAAATGATAAAATTCAAAATTTGGAGGGAATATGCTTAATTGTTTTTAATGAGGTATTTTTAGGATGATGGGATCATTTCAATCATCTTTGGGATAAATATTGCATCTTTGCAATGACGAAAAATTGCACAAAAAGTAAAATTATCGCAGAGGAGACCAAATTTTTAACTTCCTTTCTGTCTAAATTAGGCCATGCTTCTCAGATTGCGGAATACGCCCATATAATAAGCATCAAGACTATAAATACATCAAGTAAGTTTTTTGTTGTTGCCATATTTCGTAACTTTAAATATTACCTGCACTAATTACCAAATGTATGATCATGTCCAAACAAATCAATACCTCTGGGGTACTGGATCGATCGTTCTCTGATTCAGGTCAAAATTACGATTTGTGGGTGAATGAATGGATGTATGAATGGGTCCGTCCTATAAAACGGGTGTGGCGTTTGGTGTGGCAGAAGTAGTATTCATGGCCGTAGATGGCGCCACTGAAAAACAAGAAACGCACACTCTGCCTTAAATTTGCTCGGTTTCCCCACGCAGCCTTGTCCGTGTGGCAAGTGGCATTAGAACCAACCAACCATGATTATGTCCTTGATCCAATAAGATCGAGTCTTAGTAAATGAAAATCCGATTACGAGTTATTAAAAAATGTTCTCTTTTTTTTCTTCTTTTTGTTAATTGTACACGGGACGTTTATTTTCCATAAAAGTACTTTTTGCTTTTAATAGTATTTACATAAATTAAAAGATTGAAAACTTGTGTATTTTTCTACTTAATTGCCAAAAAGAACTATGCATTATCGTTGACTCTGCAATAGTTTTTGTACGTCGGTGTTCTACCTGTTTTCATCATCTACTTGAAAGGGTGATTGTTAAACTTCACTTTTCTAGCTCTTTTCGAAGAAGAATTGCTTTAATTTGAAGGGAACACCCCTCGTCTGTGGTCTGGAGAAATTTCAGTAACTATGGTAATGAGGTTAAAAAGAATTTAATGCCAATGTTGGTTATAAACTTAAAACAAATTTAAACTCGGGTTCGCGTAAGAAGTATCAAAAGCTCCCTACTTTGGAATGTACCCTGATTAGTACCTTGAGCAACGCACAGTCCTTGACATTATGGCGGTAGAAGTTCTTTTGTTAAAGATACAGCAGATAAACCTTTCTGTTCTATTAGCAGTAACAGCTAACAGATACTGTCAAGCACTGAAATGGTGAAACTTATGTGAGCATTTTGAAATAGGAGAAAACAGATGTTGTGCAAGGGCATAAGGCTCCCTGTTAGAAACTTTTTCTTACTGTCACGTGCTATTCCACACGCGTTTTTGACCACAAACAAATTGTGGTCACTAGCTTTCTATAATCAAATTGCCACGTGCAGCAGAATCTTCAAAGATCTTATCTTTCAGAAATTCTTCGTTTGTCATGAGGTGATTCGAATGTTGAAAGCTAGTAACCGCAATTTGTTTGCTGTCAAAAACACGTGCTAGGTCGAGTAGCACCAAGAAAAAGTTCCTAGCGGGCAGCCAAAGAATCTGCCTATCTTCACTCATTAAACTGGGAACTCCCGCAACAGTTTAAATAAAGCATCATCACGCATATAAACCCTAAAGTCATAATTTTTTCTATTATCACTGTACAGTTAATGATTTTCTGATTGCTTTGATTTCGCTTAAGGCTGTTGTAGAAACACAATCAAAAGCTTGGGAATACACAGATCTAGTAATAGACGAAGGAAGTCCAATTAAGGCTGATATGTTTCTTAATAAGGATGCTACTCATCTGTTTGTCATGTCAGAAAGAAAGGTATTCTATACTTTTCTGTTTTTAAAGGCATTTTATACTTCTTTTTTGTAAAAGTGTATATTCCATACTTTTTTTCATACTATAGAGCGTTTCTCTTTCTTTAGAATTTAAATTTAATTTACATTCATTATTCGTATTTCTTATGGTGAAAGTGTGTTGCCGATATTGAAGCTATAAAACTATTATAAAACAAAAATGTACTAATAACACATATTTTTTGTTTCAATTAATAATTATGACCTATATTAACTAAGCATAGGTGCCGATAATAGTATGGCGCTTTTTGACTGTTTTCCAAAATGAAGTGCTTTAAGTGCTTTTACGCCATAAATTTTGCTTTTTAGTACATAGCTTTTTCATTTTTTGCTACGTATCTATTACATAAATTAATTAAGCATCATTAGCGTCAATAATAGTTCGGTGATATTTTAAGTTTCTTATAAACCAATTAGTACTACTTTTCCATTAATTTGCCCTTTCAATTGTAAGCACATAAAAATTGTGAATTATAATGTTAAATTAATTTCATGAGAAGCCAACACCATACATAACTAATATCTTTTCATCTCAATTGCCATTGAATTTACTTTTACAGAAACATGTTTTAAAAGAATTAAATAAACAAAGGAAACATATGATTTCAGATAATCCAAGGAATACTAATTTGGTGACGCAGTCTTCCTTTTGCTTTTCACAACATGCCTCATTATTTGATTTAAATTAATAAAACTAATTATCATTGACGTCTATTATAATATTGGCGTTTTTTTGTAATAATATTGGCGTTCTAGATAAGGTATTAGCACCATTTGTTAATTTTGCTTTTCAGTACAAAGCATGTTTTTTTATTTCAATTATCATTAATTTTAAATTATTTAGTTTCATAATAACATGTTTTAAAAGCATAACTATCAACAAAATAAACATGTGGTTTCAGATTACCTTAGGAATTTTGGTGCGCAATCCTCCTATGCTACCACGTTCACATTGTTCATTGATATTATTTAACATAAAGAGAAAAAATTAACTAAATATAAAACTCTTCTCTTGATCAAATAGAGCTATTAGGTAGCAAAATATCATTGTTATTTTTAAAATATTTGGAAAAAATAATCGTCTATAGTTAAATATAAAAAAATGGCTAACGATTAACTTATCAGAAAATTCCATTTCATTTTTCGCTCATTCTGCTGAAACAACTGGTAATAGAATGTTCTAATGTCGACAGTGATCTTCCTCGTGCTTCGATCCAAAAATATGCTAAATTTCACCACACCCAGTCGAATTTCAATAAAGAAATATAATTATATAAAAGTAAACAGAAATGTAACAATGCACTAATTACAAACCGTAAAGTGTTAACTATCCAATTATGCAATATCAGATAACCGTTTACTTTAAGGGACTTTAGAGGGCACTACGGCCTGCTAGATATGAAGAAACTTGAAGATAAGAGTTTAAATGATGTCCAAGTTGACCGTCTTTAAATATTGTCCGTCAAGAATTATTTAAATCATGAAAACAATATTTGTTTCGAGGAAACTAAAATGATGGCTGACAGGATCATAAAAAGTTTTAGAACGTCGCAAATTATTTGGAATATATTAGCGGTAGCTATAGAGATTGCTTGTCTTAAAAGTAAAAATGATTTAGAATACTTTTTTTTTCTTCATTAAGTTATAATATTGTGAATCTGCAAGCATGCTATTAATGTATGAGACTTTGCAAACAATGTGACATAATCTTTCGAGTTAGAAATAAAAATAAATATTTTCTTTTAAAGAATTAACTTGAATTGATTTCGATTCCATATTCTTTGATTTTAGGGCTGTGAAATTTCCCACTAGTTAAATACTTTGACATGATTTCTTTTCAAAGCAAAATATATATTTTCAGGTAACCAAAGTACAAACTCAGGGAAGATGTCATTTGTTTGAATCTTGCACGGATTGCTTGGGAGCTAATGATCCTTATTGCGGCTGGTGTTCTTCCCAAAATAAGTAACAACTTCACCTTATAGCACCCTTTACAAAAACAAGTATCATTCTCAGCTAACAGTTTGTTTAATCGTTGAGAAAATTAGATTTTGAAATCAATTGATAAAGTAAAAATACAATTTAAGAATTTTTTATTGGCAGTAATTTCAATTGCAATGTAAGTGTAGCTAACATTGAATTGAAATATTACTATTATTTTTCAAATATTTCTTATTTCAAATATTTGATTAATTAATATTACTTTCAATATTTTAGACATATGGAATATTTAATTACTTAACATTTCCTTAAATAGTTGACAATTTTTAATGCTTTTTTCGTTAAAAAAACTATACATTCAACTATTGTTTTAGTTTTACTATATCTAAGTCAAATATATATGTACTTTAAATTTTGACATATAAGTATATTTTTATATAGACATGAATAAAATAAGCTCTGTGCCTTTATGCATAACTAATGCATTTTGAAACCAATTTACAATGCAATACTATATTTAGAAAACAATATAAATTCGGCTTTTTTTAAAACCAGAACTTTTTTTACTTTGTACCTGTTATTGACACCAAATGCTCCTCTTTGCAACGTGTAACGTGTTGTAGTAAAATACTATTATTATTGTGTTGAACAAAAAGAGCCAAATCACAAATGTATTACAAAAAAAAGTATTAAAACAGAAGACTCATTTGTGTTATGTTACAATATCAAGAAAAATAACCGTAAGGAGAACATATTAATACGGGTGTATCATTTGAGTAAGCTAAATTTACTTGCGCACTTAATGCAAATGCACCACAATGTACCACACATATCCATAAGATCATCTCATAATCAGATCAAGACACGCTGTCAAAATTCTGATTCTGAAATTATGGTTAAATAGCGAGTTGCAGCCTGTCCATTCAATTAGCCGTTAAATTTACGGTAAAAAGAACATTTCTTAACTTACGGTTTTGAAACCGTTTGCATCTAGTATGGTTAGAAAACCATGAATACAAAACAATACAATTTTTTTAATTATTTACAACCATCATGGTTTCAAAAACAAAAGAAATTAAACAGGACTCTGTAGGTAATTTAGCAGCTTTATGGTGTTGCCATCTGTGTGAATCATATTCTAATAAATAAACTCCCTTTCTGTAAATCATAAAATTGATAGATTCGCCCTCCCCACTGTAACATGTACTGATTAGGGGATCTAGTTCAAGCTCCCCTGTTGGTGCTAGACTTTCTCAGAGTGAAAGAGCTTATGGACTTGATCTAGCTCTGCTGCTCATGGGGATGAGAACAACAACACTGATCTGCAAGGAACTAAGTTGTTTCGTTAGGTTGGTCTAGTTAGTGAGATAAAGTTCTGGTTTTACAGCCGTTGTTGTTGTTGTTTTCAATCCTTCACAATATAGCTTCCGCTACATAATCCATGAGTCGAAAAGCTCTGGAAAAGTTACACACTAAAATTGGTGGAAAAATTAAGAATGTCCTTCAAGAAAAATTCCAGAAAATCAAGGATGCGTTCGGGGGAGCAGGATTCAATATGCACTTGCTTGAGTTTGACCGTATTTGGTGACAACAGTTAATAAACGGTTTTTTTACAATTGACAGTTTGAATACAAGTTTATTTAGAGTTATTTGACTGTTTGTTTGTAAATGGTAAAATAACAATTAAATAAATTGTTATTTAACCATTTTTTCAGAGAAATTTCTAACAGTGCGCGATTATTTGCAATTAGGAAAAAAATATTTTGACCAAAATTGCAATATAAAAATCAAAAAATATGCCGTGTATTATATTACATATAACCGATCGGTAATTTTCTCAACGCACAGAAAATGAGCAAACAATATAATATTTGCACTGATAATTATTTTGATTATAGATGCAGCTTAAATTCAGAGTGTGCGGAAGCTGAATATGTTCCATTGTACTGGCTATCTGTAACTGATCACTGCATATACTTAAACGCAATCGAACCACAAGAGACTTTGAAAACAGCTTCACAAGTTGTAAGCATATGCTATTAGAATATCTGAAAAAATATATATAGTAATGATATAATCCGATGCAACTGTTTTTATAAATGATCCAACCAAACATTATTTTGTGTATACAATGTAGGAAATAACTGTAAATTCTACTGGAAAAAAATTATGTTTTTCATTGAAAAAAACTGTTAAGGAAAAATGCGAATTTTTTTCTGTGTTTTTAAACGTTATTCACTGTCTTCAACCGTAATAGCTTTTCACCCAAAATCATCAGTTTAAATACTATTTTCGTCTTACAATTTTGCTTACAGTAAGATAACTTTACCTTTATTTAACTAATTTATTAACTTCATTATTATCAAATTTACCTTGGATATTTTTGCTAAGTATTAAAAAAATAATAAAAATTAATATGTTTGTACTATTTAATATAAGCTGAGTATCTTTTTAATAAGAATTGTATGAATACAAATCTAGGTTGAAATTGAATGGCCCCATGAAGGTTGCTGGGATAAAATTTACGCCAATGTTTGAAACTATTTTATTAGTTACACTAATTTTATTAATTACTAGGTAAATATCAGTTCTTCGTACGGAATAAAAAGAAGCATTAATAAATTGGCACTGAACAACACCAGAAAATCATGCACAAAACTGTAAGACAAATAATAGGCTAAAATAATTTCAATCTTTTCTTAATTATTATTATTTGTCGCCCTTCTCAGCAGCTTTACGTTATTAGAATACAAAACACGCACTTAGGTTCATCCCATAAAAAATAAAAATTAACTGCATTCGGTATCATCTGGTATAATTTTGTAGCTCTAGGCAAGTCATCATATATGAAATTTACAGCAATCAAGCTACGTTCTCTTGTACTTACGGCCGTAGCCGTAAAGGCCTATTTCCTCAGTATCTATGATAAAAGTATTGATTTAGCCGTAATAGGGACTGAATTTAATCCTAAAATAATTTGTCCCTATTTAAGAGTATATGAGCAATTCTACAAATAAACGCCAATTAGGCGGTAAAAAAAAAATTTTTTTTTTGGGGGGGACACACTATTTCTACATGAATTTTCTTCTTTTTTGCACCCTAAAAAGGCAAGAGAAAATCGTGAACATGGAATTTTTTCTTTGTGACATACTTTAAATGTAAAATACTCTTTCTGACATACTCAGATAAATCTGAGCCATTTATTCAGATAAAACGATTTTTACATAAATATAATATTATTATAATGTCTCTCTAACATGTATTTATAGAGATTTCGTACTATAAGATTATATTTTAGTATAAAAAACAAAAATAAAAAAATTTTATCAAAGTTCCCAAATTTAAAAAATCGGGAAAAATTTGAAATTGATATTTTGACATTTAAAGAATGTCACAAAGAAAAAATTTCATGTTTAATATTTTTTCTTGCTTTTTTAGGGTGCAAAAAAGAAGAAAATTCATGTAGAAATAGCATGCCCCCCCCCCAAAAAAAAACATTTAATTTTTGTTCCACCACCTAATTTGCGTTTATTTTTATAATTGCTCATATCGTCGCTTTGAAACTAATCGTAGTAAATCGAAAAATGAGATATTTGGGTCATTTTGTGTAAAAAAAAGTGTTATCTTCATAGTTCCATAAAATTAATTTAGAGAGCAGATCGTTATCGCATTGGCGCGATTAGCATTAGCGCGGAAGGAATNAAAAAAAATCACCCTTTTAGAGAAACAAAGTGTTATCTTCATAGTTCCATAAAATTAATTTAGAGAGCAGATAAATCATTATCGCATTGGCGCGATTAGCATTAGCGCGATTAGCATTAGCGCGGAAGGAATAATAAAATAAAATCGAAGAAATTGCTCTCCTGAAAAACTTGCTTTTTTGAGTTAGCACGGTTTAGTTTCAAAGCGACGATATGAGCAATTCTACAAATAAACGCCAATTTTTATACTTAAATATAATATTATAGTATGAAATCTCTATAAATACATTTTAGAGAGAAATAATATTAAATTTATCTAAAAATCGTTTTATCTGAATAAATGGCTCAGATTTATCTAAGTATGTCAGAAAGAGTATGTCACATTTAAAGTTTGTCACAAAGAAAAAATTTCATGTTCACGATTTTTTCTCGCCATTTGAAGGTGTAAAAAAGAAGAAAATTCATGTAGAAATAGTGTGCCCCCCAAAATTTTAAAATTTTTTTTTGGCAGCCTAATTGGCGTTTACTTGTAGAATTGCTCATATGTGGTGTATATTGAAACTGCATCAATTTTCATAATGCCAACAGTGCCTGCTTCCAAAACCATCGAAGTAAATAATAGTATGACGACTTTTTGCCGTTCTCCATAACAAATAAATACATTTTTTTAATTAATTTTGCTATTTTAGTACATAACTTATTTTTATATTTCAATTCGTACCTATTACCATAGTTAATTAAGCATCATTTACGTCAGTAATAGTTTGCCAATTTTTTACGCGCTCCTAAACGAATTAGTGCTATTTTTCCATCAATTTTGCCTTTATATCTCATTATTGTAATTCAATTCCAAAATAACTTATCATTGGAGTCAATAATAACATTGGTATTTTTTTGACGTTTATCCTCAAAGGTATTAGTACCATTTCTCCATTAATTTTGATTTTCAATACAAAACATATTTTTTAATTTCAATTAATTTATATCATTGGAGTCAATAATAATATTGGTATTTTTTAACGTTTATCCTCAAAGGTATTAGTACCATTTCTCCATTAATTTCGATTTTCAATACAAAACATATTTTTCAATTTCAATTATTAATTTCAAATTATTTAGTTTTATAGTAACGCATCTTATAGTTATTATCTTATAGTTTACTATAACGCAATAGCTTCCTAAACCAACGAGCAAATTCCTTTTTTTTTAAATTAGCTGAATTAAAAATGTAATTAAAAAATTCGAAAATTGGAAATCGCAATTTGTTTACAATTGTAATCATTTAGCTCCATGTTCAGTGTTGTATTTTTAGAGATACGGTTTACCCGCAATTCAATTTCCAGACACACACAAATTATTTATTTTATTATATGTAAAGATTTTGGGTAACAAATGTAACCCTGCACTATTTAAAGCTTTTAAGTTCATCAATGGATGGTATTGTATAAAACAGTATCAGGTATATAAGATAAAGCTAAGATTTTGCGTTCAGGTCAGCAAAATAAATGAAACAATCTAAATATTAACTATCCAAGGATGACTACATTTGTTTTTAATACCTTTTAAATTTTTTGCATGTCTTTTCAGAGCAAGAATTTTGTGATCAGTATGCAAATTTCTGAACATAATTCTAATTTCCATTATATTTCTGTGTGTTTATTAGATCACTACATTGTTAAAATATTTTTAAAGAACCTACTGTAATAATTATGAATTTCATTTTTGTTTTAAGTTGTAAGAATTACTGTAAGTTGAAATGGTAATTTTCTCGCGTATTTCACAAGAATAATTCTGCGAAGCAATGCTAGAAAATATATAAATATTTCATTAATTAATTTTCAGGTTAGCTTGCACTTTAGTAATCTCCCCCAACTAGATATTAAATATTTCTGTGACTTCAAAATATTTGAGAAATCTTATAAGATGGACGCTACAGAAGTGAATGGCGTTATCGAGTGTCCTACGCCCCCAGTGCCATCGCTACCAAATATAGTCCAAGGACAACGTAAGACTTTTTTTTTAAATCAAAATTTATCCAAATTTTTTTTAAGGAAGTCCTTGTTACTAATAACTGCCTTTTCTTTAGATTACTACACTTCTAAATTAACTGTAACAACAAATATTGATTGGGATGTAGCGGTGACTAATTTTACCTTTTATGAGTGCGACTCTTTGAAGACGTAAGTGGTTAATTACAATTTTCTTATAAGAAAAATAATTTTTTCTTTTTAGTGAAATATCGTATTTTTTGTGAAATAATAATTTTAAATGTTTTCTCCAAAATTTACGTAAGCTTTGAATTTTTGTGAGATTCGTGCAGTGAAATGTGGCAAACGAATAAAAGAATGCCAGGCAGCTGACAATTTAGAGCTATTTAACAAGGATCGCTATACAGAAGAACAACGCATAGTTGAGAAAGATTTCGAGAAATGTTGTGCTATTTCCTATTGGTATAATTTTCAAATTGGTAATCGAGAGCAACTTTCCAAATAAACGTTATGGGTTTTTTCTTTGGAAGTCTTATGCTTATTTGAACGAGCCCTCAACAAAAGAAAAAAACCTACAGTGTAATAATAATACGAATAAATAAATATTTTTAAATAATAAATATTTTAAATAATAAATATTTTTAAATAATAAGTATTTTTAAATAATAAATATTTTAAAGAATAAGTATTTTTAAATAATAAATATTTCAAATAATAAATATTTTTAAATAATAAATATTTAAAATAATAAATATTTCAAATAATAAATATTTCAAATAATAAATATTTTTCAATAATAAATATTTTTAAATAATAAATATTTTTAAATAATAAATATTTTAAATAATAAATATTTTAAATAATAAATATTTTTAAATAATAAACATTTGTACTTATTATGGCTATAGATATGACAAAATGAAAAAGTATATATCATTAGAAAGTAATTGCTAAATCAATAAAATGCAGAAACAGCTGTTCACATTTATTTTCTTAACGATCTTTACTAATAAATAAGCATAGTCAATCATAAAGTTTAACTGCGCCGTAATTTTAAAAACAAACAGTGTATGGTAACGGGCATGCTATCTATTTGAGTAGGGAGGTATTTATAGTTATGCTTAAAAAGCAGTCATGACTGAAAATATTCTGAAATAAATCATTTTACCTATATTTTTTATTCTGAAAAAATACCCACCTTTACCTTTCGTAAAATATTCCAATTGGCTTTTTCTTTTTTAAAATTTTAGTAAATATGTAATTTAGAGTACTTAACACATTTATAAATAGTAAAAAGATAAAGCTTCTCATTTCTGGAAAGTAATTCTGAGAAAAAAAATTTCGGTGTTATTTGCTACAACTAATATACCCTTTCAACTAATTTCTTAAAAATAATATATTTTTATAACTAGAGTCAAATGATTTTTTATTTTTCGAACTGGAAAGAGTTTTATTAATGCTCGTGCTATAAAGAAAGTATATGCAAATTCTTAGACACCTTCAAGAAAAAAAAATATATTTAAGTGACACTTAATTATAAAAACTCACTCATATTTAGATAAATAATATCTGTTGTCATTCAGAAATTCAGTTTTATATTTCTTGTGTAAAGACAAAAAGAATTAAAAAAGTTACTCATTATTAGTTTTAATGGTATATGTTTTAACTATTTTAGTTGTACTGATTGTGTTTCCAGTAAGTTCCCTTGCAGTTGGTGCATAAACAGCTATACCTGCATTGATAACACTGAAGAATGTCAAAAGGATGCTTTTATAGAACCCATTTCTGTAAGTCTTAATTATTTAAAAAAAAATTTAAAAAAGAAAACATTTTACATTTTGAACTTAGTAACGCAGAAAACTAAAAAAATATAAAGTGATTCAAAAATATAAAGTGTTTAAAAAGTTTGTAAATTTGTGATAAAAAAGGGAAGATGCATTCTTAACGCTATTGTATGAAATTACTCACAGTTGATATTGTATTACAAAATAATTCAAAGCATAGAGAAACAGACTTCTTGGTGGGGGATACACTTAGTCGACGTGGAATCATCATTTGTGGTAGATGCCCCATTTCCAATTGTTCAGAGCACTTCAAATTGTTTGATATTCCATTCACTGCATACTTCAGTAAGCTTCAGGTAATCTCGATACCAGGCCATTCTTGCCTTATTTTAAGCTTATGGTCTGTAAATTTTAATTCGAATTCACAATGGATTAATATTTTCCATCTTACAAACTCTAGACTTATTTGTAAAGAGAGTATGTGCGAAAGTGTCTTAGGGTCAGCTCTGAAAAAAAATTCTATGGTGCATTTCTATCCCTGCATTGTCGTGTAATATCAAGTCATTTATGTATGTTACTAGAAATTTTTTAATCTAGTTTTGATTCCATTTGTAGTTTCAAACAATAAGTATCCCAAGCTAAAATGTGCATATTTAAAATAAACTGTATCGATTTTTTTTTTAAATTTTGAACAGTTTTTAAAATAATGAGTCATTTAAATAAAAACAATTATGTTTCTGTAAATTTATCTTACATGTAATTTTACCAACGTACATTATATATTGAAGCACTGTAACAAACATTACATTGCCTCTCTTTCATCTTCAAGGAAAGTCTGCTTGATATTTTAAAAGTATTATTCAAAAAAAGATATTGAAGTACAATTTAAAGAAGACAAACGTAAAATAAAGTATTTAAGCAAAGTATTAGCGTAATTGAAAATCTGTTGTTAAAACTTTATTATGAGCAAATTTTGCTTTTAATGAAAATATAAATGACTGACAATTAAATATAATTTATTGATAAACATAAATATTTGAGAGGCAATATAAATTAGTCGGGTAATACGTCTTAGGGAGCTTAAAATAAATACAACTGCTCTGTTAATTGATAAAAAAAAACCTTTAATGAGCTCTTTATAGACATTAAACTATTACAGTTTTAAAAAAGAACCTTAATGAGGAGATAAATTTTATAAACAAATCTTACCTTCTGTTTTCAAATGATTTCCTGGAGAAATTGGTCACTCAGGATCAAATATCTTTTTAGTACTTTTTCCGAAGATATTTTTAATTTTTAAATCAGCATCTACTTAAATTGATCGTTGTCAATGTTATGTTGTCAATAATCTTAAATCAGTATAAACAAAAATGTAATTAATGCTCATTTTATATGTTTCTTTATTCTTCTGCAGGCTTTGAACCCAAAATCTGTATCTGGGCCTAATTCTTGCCCAAGAATTCTGAAAGCTGGCAAATCAACAGAAATTTTAATTCCATCTGGAAACAGAGAACGAATTTCAGTCAAAATTGATGGTATAAAAGTGTGTAGTGTTAACGTATACCATATCATTAGTTCGTATTCGATTTATTGTGAAAGGAGAATTCCAAAGTGTATCTCTGTTTGTATATACGTAACAGAAATAATAGCGTTATTCCCACACATAAATGTTTAGAAGGTATTAAGATGGAGATATAAGAAAATTTTGTTAAGTCAACTAGATGGAGTAAAAATGATCACAAAACTTAAACCCCCAAATGTAAAGTGGATTCATTTGAACAGCTAGTCAAAAATTAGTCAAGGTTAATGTTGCTTCAATACGTTATATTGCGTTTTATGCTGTTTTTATACGTAACCATGCGTGCTAATAGCACCTTCGTAATGTTACTTCAGATGCTTGATCTTGAATGAAACATTGATTGCTGGACCCGATAACACTTTCTTTAATCGAAACACGTGATGAGCAACTCTCAAATGTTTGTAAACACTTGTTTCAAACTTCTTTGTCAGGAAAGAAGTTCAACCAGCTCTATTACATAATGAGATTTGCTCGAGAAAAAAAATCCTAGTTATTATCTAAATGTGAAAGAATTCTTCCTTCGATATTCAAGGTCATGAGGCAAGTCTTTACATATCTTAATACAAAATGAAACATCCCGCGCTGTCTGTAGCTTGTCTATGAAAAGAACTCCCCTCACTCCCCTCTTCGCCATCCTGAGCCAAAGCTTGTCTTAAGCAATGAACCAACGACCCTACTTGAAATAGTTAAACCTCGTAACCATAATCACAGCCACTGCTTCCGGCGAATGTCTAGGGGAGTTTTTTTTCCATAGACAGACTATTGCAGTAGCAGTGTACTTGGTAGCTTTCAGCGCTCCTTACGAGAAGAAATCAAAACTTAAGTAGGTGAGCGTAAAGGCAACCCAGCTGCATCCCTACGGTGCTCTAATTGCAATATTGTTGTGGAATGCTAAGTGCAATATTGTTGTGGAATGTTGTGAGATCCTCGTGACGACGTTTCTGGCTTGGAGATGACATGGCATATACATAATTTTAAATACATGTCATCTCAGACCTAGCATCTAATGTATTGGAGGGACAGTTGGTATTTTATCTCTTAAAAAATGAAACTTTAAGATTTTGTTTCTTAGTGTGTCTTTACGAATAAGTTTGCCTGCTTAAAAATATAATAGGTTTTACGTCTCGCTAATAAAAGTTTTTAATTAACAATAAAAAGTTTTGAGAAAGATAAAAAATTCGCAAAAAAAATCGATTCCAGTAACTTTTTGTACAGTTTTATGGAATATAAGTGTCTTATTATTTGAGTCTAGGGGATTTTGTTTCATAACCAAAATGTACAGAGATATACTAAAAAAGTATTCCGTAATGTGTAAATAATGCTAAAAAGTGAAATTAGTTTTATAAAAAAATTAAACTTATCAATTATTTTTTAACTGATTGAAGTTTTCTTTTAAAAAAATTGCATTTATTAGTTTATTTCCTTCTAAGCTACATATTTTTAATTAAAAATTGTCATTGCTGCCGTATCAATATACTACAAATACTGGTTCAAATCAGCATTATTTTAAAATACTGACAGATGATGATTCTAAATACGGATTTAAATCAATATTTAGCGGTCTGTTTTCAAGAGGTTTACCTATTGCTAAACTTTAACAGAGATAAATATTGACGCACATTTTAGTGTTCACGGGACAATCAAATGCAAGAATTGAATTCTTGTCGATAAAACTATCGATATTTATTTTGCATTTTGAAAGTATATTAAAATTTAGATATAATAATGCGCATTAAAAATTATGTTAAATTATACTATTTCTTACTAACACAATTTTTCTTTTTCTTTCACAGCCTTACATGAAAGATAAAAACTTCTTATGCCAATTCATTATTGAAGAAGTAGTTCAAAAGGTCAAGGCAACTCTAAATGGTGATTTATTATCCTGTGAAGAAGTAACGGTAAGCAATAGTAAGATAACTTTAAAAAATCTTTAACAAACAAGTAATTACAAACACACTCTTGAATAAAATCAAACGTTAAGATTATTATTTTTATGACTAAATTATTTAGACCATATTAGAAAACACAATAAAGCTAAACAACGTAAACAAACCTCGAATAATAATACCTGGGGTATACATCGAATTTCTTGTCTGCGGGGTCCTGCGTAGATTTTATTTTGCAGCTGCCGTTAAACATCCAATTTAATTTTGAGTTAACGACTACTAATGTTCAACTCCATAGGATTGTAATTTTGAAATTAATCCAGAAAATAAGGTAACTTCTGGATCAAGTATAGGAAGTAATTTTCCTTCTTGGAGGACTTTATTGTTAATGAAACTAAGCCGATTTTGCGTTAAATGGAGAGAAAAACCATGAACAACTTCATGGAATGGAAAGGGAACTCTAACCCAGGATCCGTCTGCCAGTAAGGATATTTTTACGTCAGCACTGTGGCCGGCACAAGCCTGAAGCGGAATTCGGATTGGCCAGCTATTGCTAGGATTCGAACCCCTTTCAACTCTTTTAAAGAAGAACGCTCTATCTCCTGATCCATCTCGGCTCCATCACGGTATATCTTATTTTATAACCATCGATCAACAGCCTATTCTATTTTGAGTTTGTAGCTATCAATGTTCAACTCCGCAGCCTTGTCGCTTTGAACCCGATTCAGAAGACGGGGGATCTCCTGGGTCAAGTATTGGGAGAAATTTGACTTCGTGTAGGACTTTTTCATGGAACTAACCCGCATTTCCGTTGCATGGAGAGGAAAACCCCTGAAACCTCCCATGGTTAGCCCTGCTGGAAGGGGACTCTAACCCATGATCCGTCTGCCATTGAGGGTATTTTTACGTCAGCACTGTCGGGGTCCGATTTCAGCAAATGAAAAAGAAATCTCGCTCCTAATCCTTTTACATTAGTGACCGGGCTATTGTTGACATATTATTTTTCTTACAGATTGTCTTCCATGTACCTCTCTTAACGTAACTCTCTTACGTAACTCACTTGCTTCTCAATAGATGGCAGCTCCCGTGTAGTAAATGGTGACTGATGCACGTTAAATCTGTCGAGTCTCAAAGTCCTCCATGTTCCCATAACAAATCAATACCCCTGGGTGTACCGATCCAGGAGTTTCCTTGTCTTCTGGATTGGTTCAAAATTACAAGCCTACGGCGTTGAACATTTGTAGTCGTAAACCCAAAAATTGGGTCGACTGTTCAACGGCGGTCATAAAATAAAAAAATAAAATAGATGGCAGCATTACACCACTTCGTCTTATTCTACAATTCACAGTTATTCGAATCTATCGTTATAACAAATCTTTTGAGTCTGAAGGCCTGTACTCAATTACATTTACTAGCAATTACATTTACTGTTAATTTACGGTCAGTGGCCATATATTTTGAGAGAAAATATTTACGAACAGACCTGTAATTTTATGGTCTTGAGAGCTTCTCGAGCATATGACGTTTTTCTGACATTCATGGCCATGAAATCATCGGAATATGATAGACATAGGAAGGAGTGCACCCAGAAAATGGGGAGTGATTGGGAGAAAATTGAGTTCATATTCTTGTTAAAGACTTTATTTTACATATTCAGCAGGAATGCGGCCAGTTTCTGTTTTTTCATGCTATGCAGCTCTATGGAATGTAAAAAATTGGTAGAAAAACCAACGTGGAGTAATTTCGACACTATTTTTTATAAAGGCACAAGAGTTTCAAAAATATGGCAATAATTATAACGCAATATCTGCACATTACATGAAGTTAAAATTAATGAACCATATTTATTTTTTAGTTTTCTCTTAGCTCTGGAAACGCAAGTACCTATGCTAATTTTTCTGTTTTGTATGACGAAGATAAATTGATAGATAATCCAGAGAACATTCTAGGTAAATTTTTAGTCATTTTATTTTTGCATATAATTGTATTATGGTCGAACTGCTTTATATCGGGTATCAGAACAATCAGTTTATTAAAGCAGCGTACTCGTTAAACTCGAGTATCTGAAATTATTACAAATAAAAGCTTATAATGAGTAAAAATGAACTACATAAATATATAAAAATGACTTTAGAGATAACTTAACGCATAGAGAACAAAATGGTTTAAAATGTGATAAAAAACATAAATTTAATTAGAAATTTTTCTTATCATTTTGAGAAATTTATTTTAAATTAAATAAATGGGATAGTAATTATTAAATAGCACAATTATCTTTAGAATTCGGACAAGAAATTTAAAATTGGCTCTGGAATCTTTGAAAAAATGTACAGATAAAAATATTCTTTTCGTGGTACTTTGCCTGCATTAAATAGATACTTTAAATAAAACAACTATATCATGAAGTGCAGAAATCTTATAAAATTGGCTGTAACTTAGTTTATTTATAGTATTATTTATTGCACTGAGAAATAAAATATATTGTTTCTGGTAGTTTCAAAATCTTTAATTGTTGAAGTACATCGCTGGCAAAGTCATAATAATTTTTTCTGACAATACGGCGAAACATTATATACCCTGTAAAATTCACAAATAATTTTTTTTTCACTTTCAAAGATGACCACTAGTAATCTAACTTCATTCACATTCAAGCTTAATTATTTAAAATAAACGAAATTATTTATTTAGAATAAAAAAATTAAAATTAATATGTTTTAATTATATTTGCTTTAAATTTCAAATTGGACTTATTTGTTTAGACATGTTTTCTTGTAAAATGGCAGTTGGTTCTAAATATTGTCGTTTTGCTTCTGTTTATTTCCCTAAATTGTTGAGAGGATATCATCCCACACTCATTAGTCTATTTTTCTATTCTAGAGATTAATTATTAAAATATTTCACTTATTAATTTATTACTTTTTCAGTGATCATTTATGAATGTTCCAAAATGGCTCAAAGCTGCGCGCTATGTTTGGAACTACCAGAAAAATATGGATGTGGTTGGTGCCAGGAAAACAAAGAGTCTTGCCAAGTTCATGAACACTGTAATCACACACCGATGAATTTGTGGCTTGATCAAGATTACATATGCCCGAATCCTCAAATAATAAGTGTAGGTATTTTACCAGAAAAAAAATGATTCCATAAATTATTTTTCCTTTCAATAAAATCTTACAGTTTATTCGGAAATATAACAATTAAAAAAAAAACAATTTAATCAGAAAAAACTGTTACATCCAGTATCTGGTAAAGAAATTGCTAATTCTGAAGACATTTATTAGTAGTAATTCGTATTATGGAAGAAGAGGGTGATAGATCAACAATTATAGATTATATAGGCCGTTTCAAAATTTCTAATTTTCTGTAAGAAAGCATGCATTTCTGAAGTTCCAATACACAATATTTTGTTTTTACTTTTGTTAGATAGTTAATAAGATATATTTTAGTTTAGTACCCGAATTAAAAGCCCTGACAAATTCTTAACGGGTGCTGCTTTGAGATCATGTAGTGAGTACAGCTATTTTAGATTAGTAAATGGGAGCTAGAGCAAAGTTATCGAGAGGCGTATTTCAATATGTAAAAAGTAAGATTGACATTAAGGGGTCCAAATTTTGGATCGCTCAGACTATGGGAACCATACTTCCCAGATTGCGGCTACCTCCTATATTTTGGGGATAAAAATTCCGAATCTATTGAAAAAATGGTTTGTTTAATCAGAGAAAGTACGTTTTTCTGTCTGATTTCATAACTTAAAATATTGTCTGTGTTTACTAATTAGCATATTTGAGATCACCTCTTTGAACCATTAAAAATGAGTCCCAGAACGTTTTTTTTTTGTTTTTTTTGCTCATTGTACATAAACTGTCTCTCTGTAGTTTAACCCAAAATCTGGACCATGGGGAGGTGGCACAAATATTACCATTAATGGAATCAACTTAGGAAGACATTATTATGATATAGAGAGTAACGTGCGAATTGTTCAAGGTAACGGGAAGGAAATTGCTAAATGCACTACTTATGAGGAATTGTATGTCAAAAGTACACAGTAAGTTTAATACACTTTTTATATTTTAAATTTTCTAAAAACTCATTATCTGGTATTGCTTGTCAAGTATTACTGTTTTACTTTTGTCTGGTATTGCTGTTTTGTGAGACAATGCTCACTTCAGCTGCCTTTCTCTACATGGAATTTACATAACTCATTCCATAGAAAATATATTAAAATGCTGAAATAAAAATTTTACACTATTGTAATTTTGCATCCTTAATTATATTATTTTTGTTTTTGTAACCAGGATCGTTTGTAAAGTTGAAAAACCGTTAAATTTTACTTATGGAAAAACCAAGCTCCGTCTGGATGGTTTCATTGAAGTTGGAGTTCTGAGAGAGTATTTTGCTCGGACCAAAGAACAATATTCTTTTGTGGTAAGTCAACTGATTAACGTTTTATGTAACATTGTTCCCAAATGAAATTTTTTTATTTTCTTTTATTAAAATTTTATGTAACAACAAAATTTAAATATACTCTGTTCTAAACAAAGCACCCGACACTGTAATCAGAAAGTAAAAGCTTTCTTTAAAAATATGAGCACAACGTTGAATCATAACATTTGGCAAACTCGCTGCAATCTTTAAGAGGCGTTAAGTTACAATGTATTATAAGTTTCGCAGTAAGTAAAAATAGTGTTACTTAATCAAATATAACATAGCTTAGCTTTCAAAACAATATAGTTCAATTAGACATCTTATTAAAACTGTAGCCAACTTTAACGATAATGGGGTTCAACGCACACTAAAATTTCTAACATCATACTTTTAATGTCATTCGCCGAAAAAAAATTTTAAATCACTCGAATTTAAAAAATGAAAAATAGTACTAAAAGCCAGAATAGTTCAGATTTTCACTGAATTTTTTTGAAAATGTACTGCGATTTGATGAGAAAAATAAAATCGAATATGTTTATCTTCATCTTGAATTATGGTAAAGTGCCTGAGTTAATTTTAAGTTGATTATTCTGTCACGATGATGCTATTATTATTATTATTATTTTTATGTCTATTTTGTGAATGAATAATTTCAAGAGAGCAAAATTCTGTCTTAAACTAAAACTGTACCAATTATCAAATTGTTGCAGAAGTCGTGTTTGAAGATTTGAGTTAAGGACATCATTCGAAGTCGAAATGCAACCTCTGCATAGCATAACACTTCTTATAAAAGAAGACCTCCACATCTCAAAGAATTTAACATTTTACTAGACTAATCTTACTTTTATTTAAGCAAATTTCATTTTAATGCTTTAAATTTTAGTTTTAATTATTGTAATAAGGGAACTCATTTGCATCTTGCAATATTTAGGAAAGAAAATTCGAGAATGTTTTTCATAATGTTTGATTAAATTTTGCATTGAAATTTTTTAATGCCATCAGCGTGGATACTTTTTGTTATTTACAGTTCATAAAGTTTAAGCATTTCATTACATTCTACTAGTTTACTTAATAATATTCTGCAAAATATTCATTTAATTTGAGATTATTATTAATTTATTTTGAGAAAGATTTATACAACTTTTAGCAATTTAAGATGTGTTTCTTGTATTGTGCAAAACTTCTTAAAATTTTGAGTAATCATGAAAAGATAATTCCAAAACTGGATAGAAAGTTTCTAAAATTTTAATCCTTCTAGAGCTCCAGAATAATTAATGTTGATCCAACCAAGGGACCAAAGTCAGGTGGTACCATTTTAACTATAGTGGGCTTGCATATGGACACTGGCAACAAAGCTAAGGTCTTTATTGGCAAACAGCTTTGCATAGTTCACAGGTAAATTATTTCAAGATTTTTTCTTTTTGAAGATATTTTTATTTTGTTCACTAAATACATATGCATCTAAATATTAAAATTTATTAAAAAAAATGTAATTAAAATGTTTGACATAGCAATTTCCTCCTTCATAGTCGTGACTCAGGAAAAATAAAGTGCATTTCTCCAGCTTCCAAAGAGACCAACAGACAAACTATTGCTGTTCAGTTTGATAGTGGGACGAGAATTTCTTTCTCTCAGAAGTTTGAATATGTAGAAGATCCTATTGTCATAGCTGTAGAATCTAGCTCCTCAGGCCAAAAAGATATTCCCAAAGGAATTCCCAGGTCGATGATCCCTATGATTTTTATTTTCAAAATAGTTTCCATTGTTTACACTGCCTTTGATAATGGTATTCGCATACAGAACGCAAAATTACAATTCTTTTGAACAAACGACTGAACTTTTTACTTATTAACATACAATCTAAATTATTCAGAAAATAAACTTTAAATACACTAATTAACCCAGGAATTATTTAATGTTACCCGATCAGACACAAATATCTATTTTCTCTGAATAATCATACCTTTTCGGATTTTTGACACTCAAAGTAAAGTGTGTAGCCTGAATATGGAAGATAACAAGTATAGTCACATATAACTCACATATAAGATGGATGCTAATTAATATTACTACAATTAAACTATTTATGATTATTAAAATAAAGAAAAAAAATTGTATTTTCAGCAAAAAAAATTTTAGCATAAAATAATAAGATTAGATAAACAAATTTTAAAGTCATTTTTAAATTTTCTTCGATTCGCTTGTATATTTCTATTTATATGACAACATTTGAAAAAGTAAATTTAACAATAAGAGACTGAAACTTTCTAATACACTTTTGACTAAACTTCAAGTATTTTATTCCTTATATAACGGACGCCTCCATGTTTGAATGATCAAAGGTTCGAATCTATCGGGAAAAAATCTTTTTGTGTGTGTATTTGATTTCGGTACTTTAAATATATTCTGACCAAATTAACTAGCCTATTTATGGTCATTCTCTTGAACATTTAGTATTGCATCATAGAACATAATAATTAAATAATGAGTAATGAGATCTGAAGTATTCCGTTTTTAATTTTGTGAATGCAACTCCATACACGCTCATGACGCGTCATGAAAAAGTGATTTTAACCTCAAGGTTTTGCATTCGAAATATTTTGTTCCGATATCAAACCTTTAATTGTTCTTTTACAATCAAAAAAATACTTCTGGAATTGTATATATTTTACGGTAGATTGTTTCAAAGTATTTGGAATATTATTGATTTCTTAAAACTAGGCATATGCACAGTCCCATTCTTATTAAGATGACTATCACCTACATTCTACATTGACATATAATAACCAATTGCTAAAGCTAGGCATCAGTGGGCTAGGGTTGCTAGGGTCACAATTCTCGTTGCCCATAATCATTAGCATATAAAGGGAGTCGAGAGTTGGCTTTGTGGACAGGAACTCCGTAAAAACTTCAGTTCAAGGGGAAACTTTTGTAATTCTAGGTCTAATACTAAAACTGCATGATCGTTTGCTGCATCAGTAGCTTCCATATGCATTTTTAAAACAACTAATATTAAAAATTTTGCATGGTAAAGATATGCGCAACATTGAAAAATGGCACCGTGTAAAATGGTAGAAGTTCAGGTGAATATACATGTAACTTGGGACCAATCTATTGCCCTTTAATGAGAAATACAAATGTTCTAAGTGAAGGTTGCCAGCAATGTTTCCTAAATGATAATGCAGAGAATGTGGCAGATTTTAGCCTCTTCTGTGATCACCTGGTAAAGCCCCTATGCTGACTTGTGTCCCTTGTTTGCGAAGCCTGGAAAACAGTATCACAACTAGACGTCCACTACGGCTTCTCTAATCGAATGGCTCACATTTTATGCTGTATCGGTCAAAATAAACGCCGGTGTATAAAGCGAAAATTAGCCGATAGTAAACACCCTTCTTCTATTGCTGGAAGAAGACCAACCTAGAAGAAGCAGCATAATGGTCCAGAGAATTTTATAGTGGAATTCCATTGCACTTTATCCAAGTCAACGTTATGAAATTCTGCTGTGAAAGTTGGTCAATCTGACTTTTGACATGTCCTCATACTTGTGACTGTATTGTACATTCAAATAGATTAATTGAAATTCAGTCAAGACATTTTGTACGTTGAATAATTCTAATCGAAGGTTTTTATCCTGACAAAACATATACTAGTTTTGTGCGTTTCTACGTTTTTTTTAAACAAATGTAATCATAAATATTTAAATCAGTCTTTATTTTAATTTTAGCGGTGGAATCAAAATAACAGTAAAAGGAAAAAATTTTCACACAGTACCATCTCATCACATCTATATTGTAGTAGGTGAAGTAGAATTTAATCATGTAAGTAATTTTTAATTGATTTTATGTATCATTTTTCTTTCTTTTGTTCTTCACGATTTCATAAATACTAAATTTCCAAAGTAGTACAATAATAAATTTTAATCTATTTCCTTAAATCTGACCATTGTTAATTTTTTTGTCATGGTAACCAATTGAAAAAAAATAAAAGATAAGAATTATAATAGATACGGAAAAATTCAATAACAATAACAATTAAAATAAATTAATTAATAAAAAAAACTTACTGCATAGTTTTTTTTTCTTTCGAGGAATGGTTTTGAAAATTTATGCTAGATGATCGACTATTAAAGTATGATAAGAATTTAACCTGAGTTATTCCCGTTATTAAATTTCACTAGTTATCACATTTTGTTTGATGCTATATTTTGTTTGTTAATAAACACGTAGTAACAAACATTTTAACAATTGGGCTCAATGTAATACATTTTTATTCCCTATTTTTCACTATTTTTTGTTTTGTTTGTTTAACGTGCTACGTAACATAGAGCTGACTCCGAATTGATTGTTTTTCTTTATTGCATTCGTTAGTATCATATAGAATTTATAAGAACATAAAAAGAATTAAATGAACCTCTAAAACCAAGCCCTTAATAAAAACGAATTATTTGTGTACCGAAATCGGTGATTAATTATCATCGCTCGTAATCTATATTTTTACTAATCTTGTAAAAAGAAAGCAGAAAATAACTGTATAGTCTTTATTAGAAGTCCTAAACTAATATTTAAGAACAGAAAAAATATTTTGAAGCTATGACATATCACTATTACGAACAGGAAAAGGAAAAAAGGATTTAATCGTACATTTTTTTTATATAATTTTATTTTTTCTTTTCATTATTTTTTGAAATAATCTTTCATTATTTATTCGCCATTTTTACATTTGTAACTTTTGCAAAATTGAAAGGAAAAATTATTTTTGATGGTGATTTCCATACAGAATTAAACGTACACAAAACCTCAGAAATACGCCAAGAAAAGTTCTGGTTGGAAAGTTACCACTAGCTTATAAAAGTTTATCCTATGAGGCAATATTGTAAAATACTCAGTTTTTTCTCCATTTGAATATAAAAGTAAATAAGAGTATCAATTTAAAGTTTTAAGATATTTATTTTATCAAGTAAATAAGACAATCTCAGTAAATTTAGATTTTAATTTTGAAAGAAATTTTCGCCTAATCTTTATTGAAATCACTAAAGCAACCTTCATTTTGATTTGTTTTTAAATTTTTGGATTGTTTTGCTATTGCATACATAGCTAAGATATTTCAAATCTTGCAGTAAGAGTTGTTTTTTTAGTCTAACGAATGTGTTTTAAGCAATAATTTTATGCTTATTGCTGAAATTAGGAGAAAGATTATTCATCGAAAAGTAATATTTGCTTCATAACATATGTTCTTTTATATTCACACAGATATTTATTTATTAAATTAAATTAGTATTCTCTGTAACACGATACATATACCATAAAATGCATGAAAATTTCTATAAACGAAAATAAATGAAATTCTAGTTTAAATAATTAATAGCAAACCGACAACTTCAAAAAGTCCAACACGACAACCAAATGGCGAGAAAGTAGACCGGATACAATGACATGAGGTATTGCTGGAGGATGGAGTATCTATAGTGTTTTCTGCAGCAAAATTCATCCACATATTTTGTAACATTTAATGAATTCGATAAAACAAATGTATAATTACAAATGTTAATTACTGGTGTTTTCTTTTTATCTAGACCTGCGAACTTTTATCTGAAGCAGAAATCATGTGCCCTAGTCCAAAGGTACCAATTAAAAAGCTACATTTTGTTAAAGATGGAACCAATACACTACCCATACAGCTGGAGTATGGCTTCAGAATGGATAACGTTGAAAGAGTGACAAATTTAAGCAACCGGCCTGGTTTTTCTAAGTTTTTCATGTATCCAGATCCAGTTGTTTACTCTATCTCCGAAAATAATGGAATCATACAATACCGTGGAGAAAATCTCGTCATTCAGGTTAGTAATTTGACTCGAGAAATACATCCATTGCCATAAAAATTAGTAAAAATTAGCGTTCACCGAAAGAGTTTTGGGTATGAAACGAAAGTTTACATTCGTAATTACAACGATTAATTAAGTAAATGATTAAAGAATCATAGCAAAATTATCATTTATTACCGACAAAAAATGAATGGTGGATTTAGTACCCTTTTCAGTCACCTCTAGTGCGAATGCAGGGTGTGATACCGTCATATCGGATTGAGGCATCCAATCCGATATGATGTCCTGTTCTACAGTTACTGTAAAAGAACCACTAAATCGACTAAACTCGGAAGCAGTTCAATTTGCAGTACTATGTGGTCTCATATATGCTGGTTCGGTAAAAAATCAAGAGATCGAGCTAGATAGAGCAAAATGATAACGGGATCGAGTCGTTTCTTTGACGCCCTTGCTGAGTGCGACACATCATTGCTTGTAGAGAAATGGTTTCTGGAAGCCTTGTCTTGAGTGGCAACGCATGTGCCTGAAGAATGCCATGAACGTACCTCTGGATTGTAATGGCACCCTGAATCAATTTTATGAGTGATTGTGTGCCTTATGTGATTTCACCTCATACCATAACACTAGTTGTAAAAGTGGTGTGCTGCTGTACACCATAGGTAGGATTAAAACCCACCCACCTTTGCAGTTGTTTCACTATCGACAGGATTGGACTCCAACCGAATGGATCCATATTGCCTTTAGTTATGAATTCATATTTAATTTGGGCAATGATGACCATCGTGTACGAGTGTGGAGGCCCCGTGGAGAATGGCTCAATCCTACCTACGTTGCACGGCAGCACAATACTACTTACGCTAGTATAATGGTAAGAGGTGTCACCTCATATACGATATATGATCATCTCTAACATGGATTCACGGTGCCATAACAGCACTGACTGTGCTAGTTCGTGACTTCCTTCCGCTACACGTGTCCCATCTCCTGGCAGGGCTCACAGGAGCCCTTTTTCAACATGTCCGCCAGTTTTGCTCTGACAGACGCAGCAACGGTGTCATGGTAACACCCGCGCCATATTGCCACCGTTTCTATCCTGCTTGATCCCCAGATTTATCACCGAACAAGCATACTTGGGACCTCTTAGGACAGCAAGTAAGACAACATCCGAGTTTGGTTTATGTCGTAGTGCTTTTACAGTAACTATGGAACGAGATGCCGCAGGACATCATAAGAGTCTTAAATGCCTTAATGCCCGACGAGATCACAACCAGCATTCAAACCAGAGGTGTTAGAGGGTACATAAGGAAGAGGGTACTAAAACCTCCGCTCAATTGCATTTTTTCCTCCAATAAATGATTATTTTGCTTTGATTTTTTATCACTTTCTTATATCAACGTTGTACTAACGTTTCGTTTCATTCTGACTTACACTTTTTATGGGCGCTAGTTTTTATGGCATCTATTTCTATTTTTATCTATTTTCCATCTATTATCTATTTTTCATGAAACTGAATTGAAGAGCTAAGTATACTTTTAGTTTACTTAGTTTTTCTTACGTTTAATTTTACTTAGAGTTTAAGAAGCGCCGTAACTTTAATATTGACACATTTTTGTTGCAGGGAAATAACTTGAACTATGTTTTTCAAGTAAGTGACATTATAGTTCATATTGGAACAGGATATTGCAATTTGACGTCTTTGACCCCATCCCGTATTACGTGCGAACCACAAAATACCATTTCTGCTGACAAAAATGCAAACAGTGACCTTTATGAAAATGAGCTTCTTGAAATTGTGGTAAGTACATTTAAATGGTGACTTTGTACGAAAAGATAAAAACTGGGAGTTGGGCAAACTTATGCTGAACGAAAATTAGGTTTAAGGAGAAAATAGGGGGTGAAAGTATTTTTTTTATTATGTCTTTTTTTAATTTGACATTGTTTGATAGCTTATAACATTCGTCAAAATGATTCCTATACTACTGTTTACTTAAAAATTATAAACTAAGCTTCTTATTATTGCGTTTTCAAGAATGTGCAAACTGCTTTGAAACTCGGTACTTATGGGAGGTTGGTATAGAAATTAAAAAGGTACATAAAAAGTATACCATTACATATCTAAATACATAATTTCTAAAAGCAAAAATTGTGTTTAAAAAGAAATACCATATACTTATTCATAGAGGACACAAAAAAATACTGAACTGATATTGTTTTCTGTGAACTGAAATGTCTGAAGATTTTTTATTTATCACTTTTTAGTTTGTTTCTTGATCTTCTTTAATGCTTTGAGAACCTTTTTTATATTTTTAATGTGTGTCTCGCTTCTCGATTTCCTGTTTGATAGGAGTATCTGTTAAAATATATGATATAGTATGATGGGTCAAACCTCCTGTAACATTCAGTTTCTAAGAAAAATAATAAATTAAAAAAACACATTAAAATAGTAAGTAAAAATAAACAATATCCATATTGCCTTTTAGTACAGTGTTCAAAATATAAAAAAAGGATCACCCAGAATATCATCTAATAATTAGATTTTAACCTTCTAGGACTCAATCTTAATAATTCGAGGGGTTGAACTCAAATGTGCTAATATATTAGTGCAGAGGGCATTTTAAGTTAAAAAATCAGACACAAAAACTTACTTTATCTGAATAAACATACTTTTTTTTAAAACGGATTCGGATTTCTGATCTTCAAAATGTAGGAGGTAGTCGCTACCGGGAAACATGTTCCCCATTGTTTGGTCAGGAAAGTGGTCCAAAGTTTTGATCCAAATTTTTGCTTTTTGAGTATTTTATTATTAATTACCGATTGCAGGATAACCGATTTTTCCGTCAATGCAGTTTTCTTCCTTCTACAATATTTCCTTCCTTCTCGCTCCCGTAAAAATGACGCGGTAAAGTTTCGCCCTCTATTTCTCGCTCCCGTGATATTTCCGGGCTGGAGTGTTCAGTAGTAACACACCAATAAGAATAAAACTAATTCATTTCTTTTGCCCAGAAAACATTTTGTTTCTCATTTTACACGCCAGATGGCAGTACCAGGATATTTTTAAGATAATTGTAGATAGTTAGTTTATTTTAAACTAGATGTCAACACTAATCAAATAGCACCAATAAAAAATAAGCACTTTTATGACCGTTTTCATGAAAATTAACCGATCGTTAAGGGGTTAATAAATAAGATGAGCAATACTAGCTTTCCATTCGGAAAAGTTTAATTTTCTACCTGAAGACCTATCAGAAAAATACAAAATAATAAAACAGGAAATAAGGACTTTGTTATAATACAAACACCATAAATGGAGACACATTTTATATCAAATAATATACACCTTTTTTATGTATTTATTATAAGATGTGAGAACTTTGTACCTACAAGAATTTTAAGATGTGTAAAATTTATGAAAACAAATTATGTTGCTGGTGTATTAATATTTGTTTTGTTAATTGTTTCTTGTAGGTAGAAATAGGTGATAGACTGAATTTTACCATTGGAAAGATGAAATACAGTTCAAAGAAAACATTCACTCTAGGAAATCCAGTGTTAATTGGTGTAGCCAGTAGTCTTGTCGTTTTAATTCTCATAATTTTAATTATTTCGCTTTACTGTTATCGGAAAAGAATGAAAAATAAGGAATCATTTGTAATCCATCTTGAAAACGCATCAAAAAGATTAGAAAATCCACCTGATGTATGGAGAAAGAACATGTATGGTGATGAGGATGCACCCCAATTTGTACCAGCAAGAAAATATGTAAGACCTAAGGTTAACAAAATAACGACTTGATAGTGGTCTTATTAGCTTCAATTTTCTAGAAGCACTTAGACTTACTATTCAAGGATCAACATTGTACGCCTTAAACCTCAATTTGTACAACTTTATGCATAAAAAGTTTCCCAAAACTTGAACTCACATTGGATACTTGCAATCGAAAGTAGTCATTGAAACTGTGTAGTTGAATATCGAACTAGAAAACATGAAAACTTTTCTCCTTTCAATGAAAAACTGTATCTTCCAGTTGATTAAAAAAGTTGATTAGCAAATCTATTATTAAATTATGTATTTTATTTTTTCTGAATAAATATTGTCATTTGCCTTAAGCTTGTCGCAGTTGAAACCGAACAAAATGTGAAAAAAAAATTTTAATGCTCTAATATTTTTAGTATTATTTTATTTTCCTGTAATATATTTTTTTGATCAATTTGTAATACATTCAGTAACATTATTGAAAAAAATATTCATTATTTTAGAATTTACAGACCAAATTTATATGTGCTTTAAACTAAAATTTATTGCCTGCTTAGGGGGCAATATAAATTGTTTGTATGTGTTAAAACATTTTGAAAATTTGAAAGAGTAAAAGAAGAAAATATTTGAAATCATTTTATTTTCTTCATGCAAATTATTAATTGAACAATCAATAAATGAATAATTAGCAAATCAATAATCAATAATTGAAGAATATTACCTAATTTCCAGTTAGATAGTTTTTATTCAGAGAAGTGTTACCAGGACCTGTGTCTCTCACTTATGTAGTATTATTAATTTCTAAAGATAATAAATAATATGCAATGTTGTAATCATTTTACATATTACCTACATTATATTTTGCTCTTATGAGATATATCTACACTAGACTTCGAACTCACAAGTGTTTAGTCAACGAGATATTTCAGATGTAAAAATTATATTTTTGCTGAATTTTGACTAGATAGCAAGTGCAATATTTAATAAAAATGGGATAAAATAATTAATGTAATAATTGCTATTGTAATAATCTTTTATATTTTATTTTTGTTCTGTTTTGTAGAAAAAGCTAATTATGCAATAAAATCACTGAACTCAAATTACTCAAACAACTAATGTCTCAAATTAAAACAACTTTTATTCATTTTAAACTATTTCGTTCCACCTACTAGAAATTATTGATGATAAACATTTTTCTTTTTTAAAATATCTAATCCACTGTCAAATTAAGTGTTGGAATTTTTTTGTCTTCCGACTGTTTCATTTTCCTGAGACGATTTCCTTTTCTCCTGGCTCTCATATTCTTTTTCACCAATCGCGTTGTCTCAAAGGGTGACATCGCATTTTGTTGGCTTGCTGTCACATTTCCGTTATCTTCAGCACCGTATACATTGTGATCTCCACTATCTTCCAAACTACCAAAATCGTAGTCATAGGCGCTGCTTTCGTGATTCAGAACCAGTCCTCCCTGCACATCACATGATGTGCAGTTAACGTAAAAGAAGTATTTCCCTGGTATACCTGGTACTTTAGAACCCCCATCTCTTCGATGGAAATCTTCTTCACTAGACACCTTTAAAGAATAAAAGTCAAAATACTTCTGATCTTATTATTAATGTAATAATAACACCTTAATTCATAACTTATTATTTTTATTTATCTCAAAACACTTAATTTAAGTTCTTGGTTGTGTATAGGTTTCTTGAAAAATCACAAGTAAACAGAAAAACACAAAGAATCATTTCATTGTCTACGGAGAAATCATTGTATTTTTTAACAAAGTCAATCTCTTGAAATAATTTAAAATTTAAATCTTCAGATTTTGGGGAAACAGGATTATATTTAACATATTATAACTTTTATTTCTAGAAGGTTCTAAGCTAAATTTTATACTTATTTTAATTCATTTAATTAAACTAAGCTAAACTCAGTGACGCGACATCCCATAGAGGGCCAAGGCCTACTGTATCCATCTCAGTTTTCTTGACCTTGAGCTCTGGGGTGCGGGAGCAGATGTTCCGGTCGAGTGGTCAGGCGAACGCGGAACCCCCAGTGTTTAGTTCCCAACAGAGATGGGCATTTGTCATTCAGAATAATGAATAAAGAATGATGAATAATTATTCGAAATCTGAATAATGAATAATAAATAAAGATTTATTCAGTAGTCAGAAATATTTTGAATAAAGAATAAATCATTCATTATTCTTTATTCAGTATCCTTCATTCATTAATCAAGAATAACTGAATAATTTCACTGGTCAACAAAAATGGGCACGGAATACTCTAATTGACTACGATTATGATTACTACAAATAAAACGTTAATCCTTTTCAAGTATATTTATATAATGTTTGAGGAAATTTACTTTTGTCTAACATAATGCATACTTTTGAGAAATGGTTACATGGCAAAAAAGCGTTTAATTTTTTAAGTTAAAATTTTATTTAAAAATTTAAAATAAGATTATCGTTCGCTTTCAAAAACTATAAGAAATTGTGTTTTATAGATTTTAGAACAAAATTTTAAAATGAACTTAAGTAACTAAACTGTTATAAACCTACTTTTTAGCACAACTAAGTATGTTACGTTGGAGTAAGTTAAAATAACATAAAAATAAATGTTCATACTTGTCTTAGTTTTATAGTTAAATTCCTAAAATAAGACGTTTAGGAGCAAACGATGTTTTGCTTCTCGTCATAGAAAAAGACATATGGATTGCATTTTTCGCTGGTTATCCAAAATTTTACTCAGAAAAATTAGTCATGACTAATGAGTTCATTCATCAATCATTATTCAAAAATTTTTATACATTTGCATAATGAATGATGAATAATGACTAAATTTTCATTTGAATAATCATTCAGAATAAATTTAGTCATGAATAAAATTTTCGTGAATGATGCCCATCACTGGTTCCCAAACATGCTTGGTACTCATTTATCGAAAAGGGAAGACTTTATCTGATAATCAAATTTTCGAATACCAAGATTCAATTTTAATTGTTCAATAGCCTAACCTTAAATATGCTAATTAATTAGTGCAGACCATATTTTAAGTTGAAAAACAAGACACAAAAACGTACTTTCTCTAAATAAACATACCTTTATTTCGACGGATGCAAGTTTCGAACTCCTGAAACATTTAGGATATTCGCAATCAGAGAAATATAGTCCAAATAGTTTGGTCTGGAGAAGGCTCCAAAGTTCAGCCCCCTTAATGTTGATATTATATTTTGCGTATTTCATCATATCTCGAGAACTTTTTAAATGAGTAGAAAAATTTTGAGTGGATATGTAAAATAAGTTTATCCAAAGTAGTGCCACGGAAACAATAATTTTTAATAATTATCTATTATTATTTTATTTATCGATGTTTGAAAAGTATGAATTGGAATAATAGGATATTCAAATTTCTACATTATTTAAAGGAATGTAATTTTTAATGTCAAAATACAACATTTAAGCGATATCTAACGAATAGTTTCTGAAAAATCAAATTTTAAGTCTTGTATTTAAAGATGGATATTATATAAAACAAACAATTGCAATAAATAAAATAAATGAAACAAATACAATAAAATCATAAATAAAACAATTACAATTTCAAAAAGTGATAAGTAAGCATACCTAGAAAGTGTACTAGGTTCTCATTTGAAGCATTTTTATCTAAACCAAATACAGCACCAAACCATATTTTAAATTCCCACTTCGATTTTCTTCCATTAAAATAGCAAGGAGAAACGAAAGTTAAAAACTATTTTTACATGATTTGTGCTTCAGTCACGTGATTTCATTCTGAGCACAAAAATTACCGAGATGTGCGTGTTCAATTTATATTTCATCTATATGGTCTTCGTGACTGAAAAATCCTATTTTAGATGCAAAATAAATTTCATTGTATTTAATTTTTTTTTCTTTTTGCTCACTATACAGGCGGTAGACTTGCTTATAAGCATTTGTACAGGAACTTAATATTTAACAAAGTTTTTTGCTTTCTTTTTTAACATATTTTTAGTGAAATCAATTTAAGTAAAATCAACATCAGAAATGTTTATACTGATACAAAAGGTATGTCAAACAAACAAGAGAAGAGGCCCCAGCTTAAACACAGGCAAAGAAATATGACTGTTATTTTGCAAACGAAGCATTGGCTAACAATAAAGACAGGAGAAATATGTATGTTTCATACAGCATCTAAATATTAACACTACAACTAGTCTTAAAAAATTTGTAAAAGAATTGTGAATCAAATTAATTGTGTGTGTCTGAAAATTTAAAATTCTGGTTTAAAGTAGGGAACAGTCTTTGGTAACGCAATATATCAAGGTTATTGTGTATGTGACTGAAGAAGTGGGAAAATGGGCAAAAATCTTTCAATAAAATTGAAGATGGTTAAGCATTTCACGCATTGTCTATGCATTGTATACAATGGAAAGTAACAAATAGGATCATTTAATACTTTAAATTAATATAACTGTGATTTGTAGTATTTAAATTAATTTCTTGGTGCAACAAATATGTTGACGTTTGACTCTGCTTTCTTTAATGATAAAGATATAGTTATTTAATAATCACTGTCTGTTATTAATCATAACTTAATTGAATTAATCAATAAAACAGTTAGAAGATGTATGGGTAGCTCTCTATGCTCATATTTTTTTAATTAAAAGGCAATTTTCTGGAATTCACTACACAGATGAGATTTTACCTAATTGCATATTACTATTAATAAGTCAGTTAAGGTAAAAAGAAATTGCAAAAAATTATTTATTGAATGAAGAAAATGTTATTTTTATTTGGTCAACTACTCAATAATATATATTTAAAAAAAGAAAACGAATAAAAATAATGTTCTTTTTTTTCCTCCATGATTTACATCAATCTAAATAAATTATAATCAGTCTAAATAACTCCCCTCGCCAATCGTCTAGAGCACTGAGTTTGACTATGGTTAAGAAGTTTAACAATTTAGAGTAAAGATGTAAGATAAACATTTCGGACAAATTTTGGCAGGGGTCAGCGGAGGAAGTATTAAAACCTCCTTCTCTAAAATGTGATCAATCTTGTTTCCGTAGCAACAGACAACTTAAGATTCTGTTTCGAGAGAAACTTAGTAAACAGACTAAATCATACTTAGCCTATAAAGATCTCGTTTGTCTAAGCGATGCCTAGGTATTGTATACGATTATACGTACAATGTCTAAGTAAAGTACATAATAATTCGCATACTTATCTTAAAAATGCCAGACATTGTCCACATTGTCAGTAATTTTATTGCTACGCTTCTATTTTCCCGGAAACACTCGTTTTCAATTTTATTATTTTACTCATTTTATTAAACAAAAAATAAATTAATTACTTAATAAAAATAAATAATAAGAAAATTATTTCGATTTATTTTCCGGATTATTATAGCACGCAAATAAATTTTTTCTTGCGTAAGAATTATTATTTTCGCACTTTCATTAAGAATTATTTTTATAACGCATTTCGCGCCATCATAAAGAACTATTTTTATATAATAATAGTATAACAAATATATACTTACTGTGATTAAACAAATCAATAAAACTAATGCTGTTATACTAATCAATCTAATAATTTCCATAATTGGGAAAAAGCCTATAATTGAAAGTAAAATTAAATCATTTCCTCTGATTAATTTTTTTTTAAATATCAAACACCTTACATGCTTTTTTAATATTATTCGAAAACCTCTTAATAAACTGTCTTAAATAAACATTTACTATTACCTGATAAAAATTACCTGTTAGGTAAATAATGCTTTTAATACTAAGGCTTCTTCAGAAAAATGGAATATTTCGTAATAATGCTTATTTGAATAATACTTCTTTCATTTTAATGTTAATCTTATTCCTAAAAAACACTTACATCCGGATTTCGTGACACGAATTTCTTTTTTTTTAAAAAAAAACAAAATAATTCGAAGAATTAATACATAAATCGCTTTCAAAAATAAGTATTAATCTTGCTTAGAGAAACAATTGTTTTCCTGTTGAATCTGTTTTACTATCTGAATCAGCAAGAAATTGCAATGTCAAATTTGCATGCATAAACGCTATTTTTATTAACTATTGACTATTTATCGATTAAAAAAAATCATTTTTAACTTATTCTTCAAGAAATTCGGATTTCAAAGATTGCAAAGCAATTTTAATTTTTATTTCAGTTGCATAAGATATACTTTCATACTCTTTTCAGAAACGAAAAACATTTTTGTTGTTCTTTTGTGCTACTATTTCCCTTAGCAGATTTTTAAACAGTAAATTTTAACAAAATCAGCAAAATTTCGATAAAGCTACTTAAATTTTGTATATACAGTAGACCCACTAAAATCTTGAACCTCTCTCATATTTTTTAAACGAAAGCAGATATTGTAATAAAATATGGAAGCTGTTTCCAGATGCGGTAAAGTGGATATTCTCTATAAGATGAGCCTTTTGTCACTACGCGAGGAGATAAATAGCAGAGTTAGCACTTCTATCTAGAAATCAGTGCGGGAATATGAGGAAAAATTGTGAAGTTGTAAGTCATCTTTGATTTAGGGCGAACAGACGTTAGGATGAGCCTAAAAAATCCTAGTTTTTGCTTTCAGAACCCTGTTCATAGTGTGTAAATATGTAAATAGTATGGGATATGTGTAAATTGCGGAAAATGTGAAAGAAAAATCATAGAGTGGAAAATATTTTCTAAAAATCATGTAAAAGAAGAAAATATGAAAAAAATATTTAAAAAACGTCTGAATTTTGACTGATCTTTATAAACGTTTGCGATTTAGAAAAAACAAAACGAAAGAGCAATTCACAAATATAGGAAAGGTTTGAATATACATATACATATATATATATATATATATATATGGGTCATTCTCACAAAAACAGTCATTTTCATGTCCCCCGTATTAGTTGTTGAAAACAAAAC